CTTTTTTTTTAAAGATATCGGAGTACCAGACTCTCAGACCGTTAACAGCAGTTCAATGGCATTCCACAAATTTAAGACAAAACCGCCATTTCATTCCTCCACATTGAAAACGTATTACTCTAAGAACGTGTTTGTGGAATGCTCAGTTTTTGAATTCTTAGCCAGTTATTTTCATTTTATTCGATTGTTTAAGCTTAACAAATTCAGTATTAGTGTAACGGTATTACTTCTGTCCGTCCATCCGTCCGTCTGTATGTCCGTCCGTCCATCCATCCAATTCGCTGGATGTGTTCAACAGCAGTTTCTGCCTCTTGTTTGGTTTGGTCATGATGTGATTTTTTCGCCACAATATGTTGCATACAATGATATTAAACTTAAAAAGTAAAGATAAAGGTTGAAGTTTACAGCAAAACATGGACTCACCTGTGCCCTTATATTTTATTTCTTTTTCTAAAGAATTAATTTCAGTTTCCAGTTCTACGAGAAGAAAAAATGTCCTGACAATTACCATGAACCACTTTGTAGTGAAAAAAATCCTTAATCTTCCATAACAGCATAGGACGGTTCATAGGTGTTTTGTGATGATTTGTTTTTCGAGATATATACAACTTTGATGAAGCGCAAGTTCGAGCAAGTCATCATAACGGCTGTCACAGTGTTTTGCTGAGGCAACCTAGCAAGATCTACAAAATATCCCTTTTTCCTTCCTCCTCAACGCCTTTCGACGCCAGTTACGTCAAGCTACAGGCATATGAAATAGACACGGTCTTTTCTTTGTCCCTGTTACAGTTTGAACGGGTACATACTGTACAGTACATGTGTTTGACATGCCTCATAGAAACAGAATAGCACTCGAACACCGTGAGAGAATGATCAGAGCGTTCGAAGATGACAATTATATAACGAAGATTACTTGCTTGTAGCGGATACCCTTGGAGTCAACAGATCAACTGCAAGAGGAATAGAACTTTTTACTGATACGGCGGCCATATTGAATTTATTAGATTTAAGAAGTATTATGGGATGCCCAGGGGGGCAATCGCTCAGTATTTACGCGCGCTTTTTGGGCAAAAAGAGAACTTCACATGATTTCTCGGGAAAAAGGCGATCATTATTAAATCCTAACACGGCATAACTATCTTTTTTTCCCCATTGCAATCTTTTTATAGGAAAAATTTGCCTGCGAAGCGCGCGTAAATACTTAGCGAGTATATCGGATCGTGCTCATAGCCCCCCCCCCCCGGCATCCCATAATACTCCTTAAATCTAACTAATTCAATATGGCCGCAGTATCGGTATAAAGGTCTATAGTCGCCAGGTACATTCGGGAAGGAAGAATTGCAGAAAGACCACGTGGTGGCAGAAACCATGTTAGAGTTGATGCCGAGATGAGGGATTGTCTTAATGACATTTTTAACGAGAACTTGCTGCTAACATTGGCTCCGATAAACCGCGAGCCTACAATCCATGACCCCACTGTGGCAAGAGCGTTTGAGAGAATGCTGTTGCGTAAAAAACTGGTCAGCGAAACCGAAAAACGAAACGAAAAACTGGCAAAACTGGTCAGGGCTTTCCCAGCCGAGAAGAATAGACCACACGTGATACAGAGACGGGCTGGCTGTACAAATTTGTTTATACGCTATGCCGTGGTAAACCATAGCTTCTTTGTGGACGAATGCGGTTACAATATCTGGACCGCAAGAAGTCACGGCAGGGCCGTAAGAGGGAAGAGGGCATACCGGCAGGTCTGTGGACAGCGTGGGAGAAACGTCACAATCACAATGGCAATTTCCCCAACAAATGACCATATTTTCCATTCTGAGTTCCTTAGAGGAATGATACTCAGAGGTTTAACGACTTTTTGCAGCAGGCCAGGCACAACATGGACCCGGATGAACATGTGATTTTTATTTACGATGGCGCACCAGCCCGCCGAAACCCTGCGAACCCCGGTCCGAACAGTGAGCTTAAGATGCTCCCGCCGTACAGCGGCGAACAAACTAGTGAGCAAACTCTTTGTTGAAATGAAATTCTATTTTCTGGTATTGAACAGCATAAGGTGCACAAGCGTTCTGCTCGTTTGGAATATAATTTATTCCAAGATTGGAATTGCAGATCAATCCAACGAATTTTCAGGATTCCCAGCGTTCCAGAATACGGTCGGGAAAGCACCTAAAGTTTGACCGCGACGGAACGCTGGTCACTTCCCCCCAAATCCCTGTCTTTTCCCTTCCTCCCCAACACCTTTCGACAGCAGCTACGCAGACTACAGGCAGATGGACTGGACAAGACTTTTCTTTGTTCCTGTTAATCCCTTTATTCTAATCATCTTTCTGGAACGACAACTTTGCTCTCTATAGTCCAGTTTGCTCTGGATATATTTAACAAGCTTATGGAAGATGTTATTACATTCTCAAAGAAGAACTTGGCACTACGTACATTCCTTGTATTAAGACATTAAAGTTTGAAGCCCCCCACTCCACCGCCGTCTATTTGCCACCATACTGAACCCTTAGCTTAGCCTGCATAGCTGGCGGTTTAACTGTCGAGCGCGCAAATGAGCGTCAGAGCCACGAGGAGAACAAGGTAGAGACAACTCTCGTTCGAGTGCATTCTCGTCCCCAGAGCCTCCTGTTCCTTTAGCCGGCGAGGCCTGAGTAGGAGGACCAGGAGGCTCTGGGGACAAACTGGGGGCACAGGATTTGAAGTCCTAGATTTTAGGACTTCCGGTCATTTCCGATTCAAAAGTAAGTTGGAGGATTGGAATCACCTAAATTTACAGTCATTGACACTTCGGCAAGAGCAAGTGAACGCTATTAGAAACGTTGTAGAAAATCAGAAATGAACGGAAGTCCTAAAATCTAGGACTTTAAATCCTGTGTCCCCAGCGCCTCCTAGTCCTCGTGCTCAGGCCTGCCGTCTAAGGGAACAGGAGGCTCTGGGGACGAGAATGGTTCGAGTGTGCTTCGCGCGCCTTTTGGCAGCTATGCTGCTCATTTGCCCTCCCTCCGATAAAACGCCGCTACGCAGGCAAACCTTAGCTTTAATTAGCATATTGGTATTTTTAGGAAATACTTATATTTGTACCCTTTATTCAATCGCTACCGCAGTAGCGGACGTAGCACTTGTTATCTGGTGTGCCATTGAGATAGTAAACATAGTATTCACCGCAATTTCTAACTTGAATATATTTGAAGTAGAAACAACACTGATTATTAAATTGGAAACAGGCCATCCTGGTGACCCGTCCATCTGCCAGTGAGGGCAGCTCCCCCTTCATCCAGCCATGCGCATTACTGTTACAGCTCCAGTGTGTTGGGCATGTAGTTGCCATCTGTGTTCCTGCCTCGCCTTGATACCGAAACCACCCAGGAACAATATCTGCATCACATTCGACGCCGCTTTTACCATAATTCACGTTTCGGTCAGCACTCGTCAGGTTTTTGTAATTTTGACATTCTAAAAAAAAGAAACGGAAAAGGAGTAGAACAAAGAGGGTTTTGAAAACAGAAATTACATGACAACGCCCTAGATTTCTATAGTAATATGCCTGCGTTTCGACGCCACTTTATGTGGCCATCTAAGCGAGACAACTACCCTGTCTATCAGACAGGGGCGTTTATAAGAGTGGGCACGATTTTCTTTTTACCAGGTAACCTTACCATCGTTCGAGCCATGTACTTGCAGGTTCTTTAGCTCTGAAAACAAAACAAAACAAAAATAATAACAAAACCACACACCGAGACTGTTAAATTCAGTATTAAATCGCAGGCCGGCCACAAATCATTTAACACAGCTCTATTTCAGTTTGATTTGTGGATGAAGTATTATGGTGTTACCATTCAAATGAAACCTCTTGAGCAGTACTTTCACATGGTACTATTTATTTAGTACGTAGTTCTAACTTTTGAGTCTGTGGATGAAATCCTATGGTGTTACCATTCAAATGAAACTTCTTCAGCAGTACTTTCACATGATACTATTTACATGTATTAAGTATGTACTTCCAACTTTTGATTCTGAATGAAATCTTATGGTGTTACCATTCGAACAATGTGAAAGTAAAGATGAAAAGGCTTCATACTACTTATTCAGTTTGTAGTTCCAACTTTTGAGTCTGTGGATGATGTCCTATGGTGTTACCATTCAAATGAAACTTCTTCAGCAGTACTTTCACATGGTACTATTTAGTTAGTATGTAGTTCTATCTTTTGAGTCTGTGGATGAAATCCTATGGTGTTACCATTCAAATGAAACTTCTTCAGCAGTACTTTCACATGGTACTATTTACATGTATTAAGTATGTACTTCCAACTTTTGATTCTGAATGAAATCTTATGGTGTTACCATTCGAACAATGTGAAAGTAAAGATGAAAAGGCTTCATACTACTTATTCAGTTTGTAGTTCCAACTTTTGAGTCTGTGGATGATGTCCTATGGTGTTACCATTCAAATGAAACTTCTTCAGCAGTACTTTCACATGGTACTATTTAGTTAGTATGTAGTTCTATCTTTTGAGTCTGTGGATGAAATCCTATGGTGTTACCATTCAAATGAAACTTCTTCAGCAGTACTTTCACATGGTACTATTTACATGTATTAAGTATGTACTTCCAACTTTTGATTCTGAATGAAATCTTATGGTGTTACCATTCGAACAATGTGAAAGTAAAGATGAAAAGGCTTCATACTACTTATTCAGTTTGTAGTTACAACTTTTGAGTCTGTGGATGATATCCTATGGTGTTACCATTCAAATGAAACCCTTTTAGCTTTACTTTCACATGGTACTATTTATTCCTCATGTAGTTTTGACTTTTGAATCTGTGGATGAATCCTATAGTGTGACCATTCAAATGATACCTCTTCAGAAGTACTTTCACGTGGTACTATTTATTTAGTATGTAGTTCTAGGGGTGACACGTTCCTTTCGGCGAATCCAAAAACGGATTTTTGATCCGAGATTTGCCGGATTTCGCGGTCGAAAGGAACATGAAATCCGAAATTGGATTCATTGGTAACCTTTCGCAAACGCCTGCAATATGCAATCCATGTCTTGACAGCCTCTCAAGAAATGACATGTTTTCTACTGATTTACAAATTATGCGATTATACCGTGCAGGTTTTTGTGGTCGGCAGTTCGAATAGCTACGATGGAACATAAACAGATCATGAAAATAGCGCGTTAAAGTTGAAAATTATCTGAAGGTTGTCGGCCTAGTTTGATCCAGTTTCGTAGCTCGGATTTTTTATGTAGCACGATCGAGTGCCTGTCGCGTCTGCAAGCGAGTCTGTAGAAAGAGAGCAGTTCATTTGTCCCTTTACTTATTTGTGCTTTCAAGCGATCTTTAGCGATAACTAGTCAGCACATGGATATTGGACTATACCAGGAACTATCTTCCAGTGTTTTCAGATGTTTTGCGGCAAATGGCAGCAACTAGAAACTCGACGGGAATTCTTCAACTGAATACCGCTGGATCATCTGACTAATTTCCAATCCAAAGTCTGGATTCGGATTCTTCGGATTTCAAATCCAATGATCTTTAATCCTTTTTCAAAAAGGATTCACCAGATCAAAAATCCGGATTTGCCGAAACGAACGCGAAATCCGTTTTTGGATCCACCGAGAGGAACACACCTGAATTTGTGAGCGAAATCCTTTGGTGTTACCATTCAAATGAAAACGAGCATTCTATGTTCTCCTTTTTAAAGATATTGGATTTATATGGGTCATGACCGTTAACAGCAGTCGCCATTCCACAAATTTTAGACAAAATCTGGGCGGCCATTTTACCCTTCCACATTGTAAAACGTACTGTTTTAAGAACGTGTTTATGAACGCTTGTGCTTTTTACTTTTTCAGCCATTCTATATTTTAATTTTTAGTCATTAAATTCTATAAGCCAGTTGTTATCATTTTATTCAATTTCTTAAGTCTTTACAATTCAGTAGAAATATTGCGAAAAGCGTCCTTCATAAACAAATTTATCCGTCCGTCCATCTGTTCGGATCTGTCACATTGGATATGTTCAACAGCACTCCCCTCTGCCTCTTCTTTAGTTTGGTTATGATTTAATTCGTTGACGTCGTAACAGTATGTTGCACACAACAATAAATTGGAGCAACATAAAGGTTAAGGTTAACAGCTGAACGTTGACTCACCTGCGCCCTGATTTTTTAATTCTTTTTCCAAAGAATCAATTTCAGATTCCAGTTCTACGAGAAGAAAAAATGTCCTGACAGTTTGTTGTAGCACGCTTTTTATCAACCCAGTAAAAAAAAACCCAAAACGATTAAGTTGTTTGTGATGATTTGTTTTTATAAATAGAACTCGGATAAAGGGCAAGTGTCATACCGGTCATCACACTGAGGTCATCACAAATCTTTCATACAGCCCAGCAAGATCTAAAAGAGGCCATTACATGCACCCTCGTTTATCTTTTCCCAAGACCAGAACTGCTTTTAAGTCTAATTCGATGGAAAATTTTGATATATGCCCATCGATCAACTACGCTTTGAGTGTTGTAGTAGTTAGTATATAGATAGCTATTTGGTACGTCATACCTAGCATCCTTTAATGAACTACTACAGTAACTGCAAGTCCCTTTAATTTATTCAGCTCGTACCAACCAAGTTCAACATTTTACATTTTATGTTCGATCACTGGCTATCGGACCACGATACATTAACTGCTAGGCGAGTGCTTGCATGGGACTTAATTCCTGTCTTCAACAAAAGCGTTTTGTAACAGTATACGTCCTTGAGGATACCTGTCCTCTGTAACAAGACGTGGAGTCACTTTGGTCCCCCCAAGTTTTGAATTGGAAAAAAGCTAGAGCTTTAATTTATGATTGTACTGCTGATGAGTTTCTGTTCGCCCTCTCTCCAGCTGTTGTATTTTGAAGATATTATCGGAATTGTCATGCCGATTTCCCGCAATCAAGATAAGAAATATTTAGTCCCCTTGGTTTTTGTTAACTAATAACGCCAATTTGACATCAGTCTGACTTACAACTGAGAAAATACCCACCGTTAACCTTCGCTTGCAATTTCTTGAGTTCTTGAAAAATAAAGGGAACAAGAAAATGGTGAGCTAAAGTACTAGTCTATTAATATTGTCAATTCTAGTTTCATTCCACGTTGACATGAATGTGTTGTCTGACGATGTTACGTTTTCTTCTGTAGAAAAATGAAATCGAGATAATAGATGATAATGCACAGAATACTGATCACAGAAAGAATCTTTCTCTTTCAAGTGAACTACAAATTACTTAGACTTTGGTGCCATTTTTCAATTTTAGCGCTTCGCGCACATTTTTTTGGAATTTCACAACTCCAATTTGGGCAAGTTGAGCCTTCATTCAAAGATCTTCCCACCCTACTTCCCAGCCGTCCTCAGCGATCGAGATCACTTGTCACCCGTCAAGCTTAGAAGCTTTTTGAGAGAATTCGCTCTTGTTGGGAGAATTCGTGGTTTCAACCCTTTTTAGCTTTAATTCGGATAGCGCGAATTGGCCTGGGGTAGGCGTCGCCAGTCCAATGGGGCAATCTTGAGGAAGTTGTCTGCTGTTCTCGCACGCTTCTTATACAATTTGTAAGTTCTGAAAGCTATAACTTGAGTGTGAGAAAATAGTGTAATCTAACCAGTACGCTACAGACAACGTAAATTGATTAAGGGTTTTCTTTGTTTCCTAGCCATAATTATTTATAGGAGACAAAGGAAATTATTTGTTTCACCTAAGACCGGGTCAGTATTATCTGCAACATACATACCGTAAAATTCCGAAAATAAGCCCCTCCATGTATAAGCCCCTCAAAATCGTAACGCAAAAGACCCTCCGTTAAATCGCCCCCCCGAATATAAGCCCCCCCCCGGGGGACTTGTACATGGAATTTGCTCTCGAATACAAAGTAACACAAAGCAAAAATGGTAAATTTCCTTCCCACTACAATCTAGCCCAATCGATTTTGAAACGCAAATTTCCCTCCGTACATAAGCCCCCTCCAAAAATAAGCCCCTCAAAAAGGGCCTTTGAAAAATATAAGCCCCGGGGCTTATTTTCGGAATTTTACTTTAATTTGAAACCAAACGTATCTAAGGCCCCCTGTCTTGCTTCGAGCATCAAGTGAGAAAGGTGAGTTACTTTAAAGTGAAGCATCTTATAGACTGCGAGCAGTCTCTTATTTTTCTTTGCAAAGTTACTTCACGCGGTGAAAACCTAAGGACGCGAGCGGCAAAGCCGCGATAAGAACTAGATGGATTTTAAGAGAAAAGGCGGACTACAAGCAGTCTAAGCATTTTAAAACACTAACATTTTGCTGCTGACTGATCCGTGTTTGTATATCAATTTTGCGAAGGTATTGATTATTATGAATCATTTCTTAGTCCATCACTTACGTTTTTGCACTTTCCTGCCACCTTCTGACATACCGACTGTGCAGGACATCATAAGAAGAGCTGCTATCACATGAACAGTCTTCATCTTCATACGAATCCTCACAACTGTCGACGTAAATGGGTGAAGATTGCACGTAGAAACTTGTAAGAATTTAAGGTACCGGTAGTTTTTTTTCTTTTTATCATAAACATTATTATTATTATTATTTTGTAAACTTTTATGAAATTCATGAGCTTTGAAGAATTGACAAGCCGCAAAAGTTTAGGCCGACGTCAAAAGCGTGCACAGTGGAAATTAAGAATAAATTAAGTAAAAATAAATAAAAATAAAAAAATACTATGAAATGATTTAAACGGAAAGGGCGACAAGAATAAGTACAATCTGAGATCTACTGATAAACAGCTTCACTCAGACTGTCCAACTATCTCGATCTCGTTGGGATTCTCCCGATTTTGCCTGAAAATCTTGAATCCCCGCCAATATGCGATCGGGATAAGAAAAATTCCCGATTTTGATATCTGTTCTGATATTTTCAAACGAATTCTTATTATACTTATACAAATACACCATGCAGAGTATCCCTAACTGAATATGATATCCCGAAAACTTTATAGAACGGCATGAAATATAAATAAAATCGAGTTCTTGTACGCTCAGTCAGGCTAATATAATAAAAGTAACCATGAAATGACTATCAATGAACAGCGAACATTTTAGACAAAAATTGTCCTCTTAAAACCTTAGAAATGACGTTTCAGAGCATCGAGATTTCAAACTTTTCTAGGGAAGCATGCCCCCACAACCCCCCTTGTGGCTCGTCAGTTCGGTCCCTTGCGTGATTCGTCGGTGATTAAAAAGTATCCCGATTTTACATACTCAAAAGGCTGGACAGTTTGCCTCCAGTTTAGACAGCTGATTATTTCGGTTTGCGTACTTCGGGGCGGTCATAACGTGCGACCACAAAAGAATGTACTGAATGGTGAGGATTTCTTTGTCACTCAGCACTGTATTTCATTATTGATATGGAAATAACGGGAAGTCATTACTTTAAGAGAGCCGAGGTGACTATGGCTGCAGCAAATAAACTAAGACCAATTGTTTTATCGCGGTTTGTTCTTAATGTAATCTGCCCCCTAGTCGGGTGCTTTTCCTTACCGTAGCCCGATCAACTGTCACAAAAGGTCTTTTTGTGCCAAAGAAAAGAATGGACACTGACTCGAGCACTCCTAAATTTAAGAATGCCGTAAAAACATACTTA